CAGGGCCTGGAAGGGTTAAAAACGTCCCAAATTTATCCCAGATTTATCCCAAAAAATTCCTGAAATTCCCAAAAAAATCCCCAAAAAAATCGGGGGAAAATTGGGGGAAAAATGGGGAAAAAATGGGAAAAAATGTGGAAAAAAAGGGAAAAAAAGGGGATTTTGGAGAGCAATATTGTCCCAAATTTATCCCAAATTTATCCCAAATTTATCCCAGATTTATCCCAAAAAATTCCTGGGATTCCCAAAAAAATCCCAAAAAAAATTCCCCAAAAATCGGGGGAAATTTGGGGGAAAAATGGGGAAAAATTGGGAAAAAAATGGGGAAAAATGGGAAAAAAATTGGTGTAAAATGGGGAAAAAATGGGGATTTTGGAGACTAAAATTGTCCCAAATTCATCCCAAATTTATCCCAAATTTATCCCAGATTTATCCCAAAAAATTCCTGAAATTCCAAAAAAAATCCCAAAAAAAAATTGAGGGAAATTTGGGGGAAAAATGGGGAAAAATGGGGAAAAAATGGCAAAAAAAATTGGTGTAAAATGCTCAAAAAATGAAGGTTCTGGAGAGCAAAATTGTCCCAAATTTATCCCAAATTTATCACAAAAAATTCCTGAAATTCCCAAAAAAATCGAAAAAAAATCGGGGGAAATTTTGGGGAAAAACGGGGAAAAAATGGGAAAAAAATGGGGAAAAAATGGCAAAAAAAATTGGTGTAAAATGCTCAAAAAATGAAGGTTTTGGAGAGCAAAATTGTCCCACATTTATCCCAAAATTATCCCAAATTTATCCAAAAAAATTCCTGAAATTCCCAAAAAAAATCCCCAAAAAAATCGGGGGAAATTTGGGGGAAAAACGGGGAAAAAATGGGAAAAAAAAGGGGATTTTGGAGAGCAAAACTGTCACAAATTTATCCCAAATTTATCCCAAATTTATCCCAAAAGAATCCAGGGATACCCAAAAAAAATCCCCCAAAAAATCGGGGGAAATTTGGGGGGAAAAGGGGGAAAAATGGGAAAAAATGGGAAAAAAATGGGAAAAAAATGGGGAAAAAATGGGAAAAATGTAGCAAAAAATGGGGATTTTGGAGAGCAAAATTGTCACAAAATTACCACAAATTTATCCCAAATTTATCCCAGATTTATCCAAAAAAATTCCTGAGATTCCAAAAAAAATCCCCCAAAAAATCGGGGGAAATTTGGGGGAAAAACGGGGAAAAAATGGGAAAAAATGGGGAAAAAATGGGGAAAAAATGGGGATTTTGGAGAGCAAAATTGTCACAAATTTATCCCAAATTTATCCCAAATTTATCTCAAATTTATCCCAAATTTATCCCCAAAAATTCCTGAAATTCCCAAAAAAATCCCCCAAAAAATCGGGGGAAATTTGGGGGAAAAACGGGGAAAAACTGGGAAAAAAATGGGAAAAAATGGGGAAAAAATGCGGGTTCTGGAGAGCAAAATTGTCACAAATTTATCCCAAATTTATTCCAAATTTATCCCAAATTTATCCCAAATTTATCCCAAAAAATTCCTGAAATTCCAAAAAAATCCCAAAAAAATCAGGGGAAATTTGGGGGAAAAATGGGGAAAAATGGGGAAAAAATGGGGATTTTGGAGAGCAAAATTGTCACAAATTTATCCCAAATTTATCCCAAATTTATCCCAAAAAATTCCTGAAATTAAAAAAAAAAATCCAAAAAAAAATTGTGGGAAATTTGGGGGAAAAAGGGGGAAAAATGGGGAAAAAATGGGAAAAAAATGGGGAAAAATGGGAAAAAATTGGGAAAAAAATGGGAAAAAAAAGGGGATTTTGGAGAGCAAAACTGTCACAAATTTATCCCAAAATTATCCCAAATTAATCCCAAAAAAATCCTGAAATTCCCAAAAAAAATTCCCCCAAAAAATCGGGGGAAATTTGGGGGAAAAAGGGGGAAAAAATGGGAAAAAAATGGGAAAAAAATGGGGATTTTGGAGAGCAAAATTGTCACAAATTTATCTCAAATTTATCCCAAATTTATCCCAAAAAATTCCTGAAATTCCCAAAAAAAATCCCCCAAAAAATCGGGGGAAATTTGGGGGAAAAACAGCAAAAAATGGGAAAAAAATTGGTGTAAAACGCTCAAAAAATGAAGATTTTGGAGACCAAAATTCCCCCAAATTCATCCCAAAATCCCTGGGAAAAAAAAAATCCATCCCATTCTGACCCCAAATCCTTTAAAATTCACCCCAAAATTCCAGGAGGAGAAATTCCGGAATTTTCACGAAAATTCCCAAAAAAAACCCAAAAACCCCAAAATTCAAGGAAATCGCCCCAAAATTCCCAAATTTCCTTGGAATCTTTGAGGATTCCCCCCCAGAATTCCTGAAAATTCTGGATTTTTCCATGAATTTTCCCAATTTTTTTACTTTTTGGGAGTTTTTCCGGACGTGTTCCAGCGGCGAATCCGGGCGGATCCAGGGCGAGAGTTTCCCCACGATCAGGGTGTTCCAGTCTGAGCCAAAATCCCGGGGTTTGCACCCAAAATTCGGAGAATTCACCCCGAAATTCGGGAAGTTCGACCCCGAATTCATCAAAATCGACCCCGAATTCATCAAAATCGCCCAAATTTACCCCAAAATTCACCCCAAAATTGACAAAAATCGCCCAAATTCACCCCAAAATTCATCAAAATCCCACAGATTTCACCCAAAATTCGGTTAATTCACCCCAAAATTCAGGAAGTTCGACCCCGAATTCATCAAAATCGACCCCAAATTCATCAAAATTGACCCCAAATTCATCAAAATCGCCCAAATTTAACCCAAAATCCCCAAAATTTACCCCAAAATTGACAAAAAACACCAAATTCAACCCAAAATTCATCAAAATCCCACAAATTCCACCCAAAATTCACCAAAGTCCCACAAATTCCACCCAAAATTCACCAAATTCCACCCAAAATTCACCAAAATCCACCCAAAATTCATCAAAATCGCCCAAATTTACCCCAAAATCCCCAAAATTCAACCCAAAATTGACAAAAATCACCAAATTCAACCCAAAATTCACCAAAATCCCACAAATTCCACCCAAAATTCACCAAATTCCACCCAAAATTCATAAGAATCGACCCCAAATTCATAAAAATCGCCCAAATTTAACCCAAAATCCCCAAAATTTACCCCAAAATTGACAAAAAACACCAAATTCAACCCAAAATTAATCAAAATCCCACAAATTCCACCCAAAATTCACCAAATTCCACCCAAAATTCACCAAAATCCACCCAAAATTCATCAAAATCGACCCCAAATTTACCCCAAAATCCCCAAAATTCAACCCAAAATTAATAAACATCACCAAATTCACCCCAAAATTCACCAAAATCCCACAAATTCCACCCAAAAGTCACCAAATTCCACCCAAAATTCACCAAAATCGACCCCAAATTCATCAAAATCGCCCAAATTTACCCCAAAATCCCCAAAATTCAACCCAAAATTAATAAACATCAGCAAATTCACCCCAAAATTGACAAAAATCACCCAAATTTACCCCAAATAGCACCAAAATCCCACAAATTCCACCCAAAATTCGGTGAATTCACCCCAAAATTCAGGAAGTTCGACCCCAAATTCATCAAAATCGTGCAAATTTACCCCAAAAACCCCAAATTTTGACCCAAAATTCATCAAATTCGCCCCAAAATTGACAAAAATCCCCCAAATTTACCCCAAAATTCCCAAAAATCCCAAAAATTTCACCCAAAATTCGCCAAATTCCACCCAAAATTCACCAAAATCACCCCAAAGTTCATCAAAATCGACCCCAAATTCATAAAAATCGCCAAATTTACCCCAAAATCCCCAAAATTCAACCCAAAATTGACAAAAAAACCCAAATTCAACCCAAAATTCATCAA